CTTGAGTTTCCTCTCAGTGAATGTTTTCTAGGGCTTATTACCCTGAACCTCAGCCAAAGGCAAAATTGCCCGTTCAGCACCCAGGGCAACCCAATCAGAGAAAACTTGGCAGGCCGTTTAGACCATCTCAGCCCTGGGGTCCCTGCTTTGGCTGTAGGTCAGAACTGAAACTGTGCCTGGGTGTGAAGCTTGGGCTGGTGGGAGGGAGGAAGGTCGAGGGGCAGTTACTGTCTTCCACCACATGGCCCAGCATCAAGTCAGGAGATACGTGAGCTCCGGGGAACCATTGAAGAAGAACTTGGCCTCAGAGAAAATGTTCCTCCTTGAATAGCTGTGCTTTTAAAGTTACGAAATAGGGAAAGAAGCGACAAAATCGGTTCAGAATAGCAAAGGAGCCAAATTATCAGGTAATGAGGGAGAATTCTGGGGATCTCTGGAATTTAGGAAGGTTGGGGAAAAAACAATTTGGTAAGTCGAAGGAGCCTCGTTAGCTGTATCAGTTAGCCTGAGCCGGGACATCCGCCCTTCTAGGCAGCCCTGGGTACAAGGATCATAGAGAGCTGTGACATTTTTCTCCCTCATCATCTGCTGGCTGGGGTCCCTCTAAGAGTTCCTTTGCCTGAGAACAATACTTCTCTCACGGGCCTGCAGAGAGGATTTGGGAAGGGGGCCTTCCCGAGAGCTGATGGGCTGGTGTAGCTTTTTCCTTGCTGTTACTGTTGCCAAGTGGCACACTTTGCTGCCTGTGTCCCAAAACCACATCCCTCTTGATGTGAAAGAAGGGTTCTGGGGAGTTACTTGTTCTCCCAGAGAAGATTAAAAGAAGAAATGTTGCTCTTCAAAGTCAAGTCTCTCCCACGAGCAACACAAAAGCAGATGCAATCAGAAGTTAATGTGGGCTCGGTCCAATAGAAATGCGGTAGCCACAGATACTGTCTCTTGGTGCACTTGCAACGGAACCAGATGAACTGAATTTTAGTGATTATTTGCTAGGATTCAAAATATCCATCATTTTATAGTTTTTAAACGTGTATCAAATGTAGTTATTAAATAGCTTACCACATTTTTCTTGTAACAAATCCTTATGCTTGACAACTCTGCTATCTAGTGTAAATTCAAATAAGAAACATTCCAAGTGGTCCGTGCTCATGGCTAGTGTATATCTCCTTGAGTCATGCAGAGCTAACGAGCGGCTGTTGATGCATAGTTAAGAGTCTGCAAATTGCACCTTGCAGGACAAGGAACTCAGCCCATCCTGGCTTATCTGCGGGTGTGGGAAATGTAATTATAACACTCCTCTGAGAAGGAGGCCTCCGGTCAGGGTTTCGAGACAGTGATGTGATTACAGATGTAGGTGGGGAAGTTGTGCTTTAAAGGGGCAAGAAGGGGCCACAAGCTGCGGAACGCAGGCTGCCATCACAGCTTGAAAAGACAGGTAGTAGTTTGCCCTCAGTATCATCAGTGGAAGCAGCCTGGAGGATGTCTTGTTTTAGTCCAATGAGACTGATTTCAGGATCCTGTCTCCTGAAAAAGAGAACATTGCTGTAACCCATGCAGCTCATGGTAATTTGTAATCATGGAGTAGGAAGTGCATACATCACTAATACATTACTGCGAGCATCCTCCTCAGGTCATCTCTGAATGTGTTCTTCTGAACTGCTTCATCTTGGCTTGGATTCAGCTATCCAGAGCTGGGATGCCTGCCTGTTACTGCCCCGCCCACCCTGGCTGGAGTTTGCTCTTCCATGGATTCAATTGCGGACTTTGATGGCAAAACTCAGTTGATATCTTAACTGACTTAAACAGGGAAGAAAGGTTTTTTATAGTGGGTTACAGTATATAGCAGAAAAAAAAAGGAAGTTGGAAAAAGCTACCAGCTCTCTTGACTATTTGCTTAATTTGGGAGATAAAGCTAGAGAGTCTTTTCTTTAATTGATTGTGTGTGCACTTTACGAGTGTGGTACATGTGTGTGATAATGCGAGTGTGTATACGTGTATGTTGGGGAGTGTGTGTAGGGGTTTGTGTGTGTGCATGCATGCATGAGTTCATGAGGCGGCCACAAGTCAACTTTATTGCTCTGACTCTAGATGCTCCCGACCTCACCCACAGCGCTGGAGTTACAGACACATACTATGACCCCCAGCTTTTACAGAGGTTCTGGGGGTTCAAACTCAGGTCCTCATGCTTGCCTGGAGGGCATTTTACTCACTGAGCCATTTCCCTGAAAAGTATTTTTAAAACTAAAGTCCACTAAAAAAAAAAAAAAAAAAAAAAAAAAAAAAAAAAAAAAGTACTGCTGTGTGAAGTGGTAGGTTCAGAGTGTAAGTCTATCAATGTTAGTGACCGTCTCAAACTAAAGCCAGTAGGCGATCACCTGGCCGGCCTCACCTCCCAGGGGCCATTGGACCCTCTGTCAAGTTTCTTGTCTAGGACAAGGCTCAAAATCCATAGTCCATCAAGTCCCGGGTGCTACTGATGGACACCTGACCTTCAGGAGGAGCTTGGGGTGACACCTGTATGCTGAGGGAGACACATTTGTTGAGGAAGATCCAGAATGGCCTTTCTGCCCAGTCACATAATCCTCCCACCGGCGATCTCAACTGTCACTAGGGAACTTAGGGCTTGGCTGCTGGGCCTGTAGCTTTCTTCTGTTCTGTGTCTCCCACTCTAAGGTCCAAAATAGACGAAAACCCCGAGTTCCCCACGTTTCAGCTAAAAATACCTCTTTTGCCACAGGCCGGCTGAGTTCTCGGATTTCCCAGCTGGAGTGCGTTTCCCGGACACGGGGCTACCCCAGTGGAAAGTCTATAAGCAGAGAGTACCGGGTTAAAAATAGTTCCGGGGAGGCCCCTGCAAAAAGCTCTCACACCCAGCTGCCCACTCGGGGTAATCTGTGCCAGGGAGAGGGTGGGGTGGGGTGGGGTGGGAGGAGCCATTCAAGGCATAATGGCGGGACGGCTGGCCACTGCGTCCACTTTCTCTGCCTAGCAGCAGAGGCTCCCTTGCTTTCTCGGCCTGGCGTTTGTGGTCCCATCCTCGCCTTGATGGATACGGCCCTGGTGTCTCTTATCCTGCCTTCTGTGCTACACTGAAACTGAGCTTCCCAAGCTGTTTAAAAGGAAAGGAGATTAATCAGACGCCCCTCCCGTTATTCCCCCGCCCCCAGGGAAGAAATGGCCTCTTTTAGGGCTGGCAGTGTGATGAAGTGGGAGAGATCTTGCTCAGCCTGTAGAAAGTCCACTCCAATCCCACACGGATAAATTAAAAAGGAAAGAAAGACCTCTCCTGGGGACGCAGCCTTCCAGTGGAAGAAAATGAAATGTATGGGCTATTTAAAAATGTTTTTCATTAAAAAGTAAGCATGTATCTATTTACGGCTGGCTGGATGGGCTGCTTGCTTGTTTTTTGAGATAGGGTGTCACCAAGTAGCCTAGGCTGGCCCTCAACTCCAGATCCACCTGCTCCACCTTCCCAAGTGCTGGGGTTGCAGGGACGTGCCAGTCACCTCGTTTATTTCATTTCATTTTTAAAAATAATTCATTTGATTTTATTTCACGTGCATTGGTGTGAGGGTGTCAGATCCCCTGGAACTGGAGTTACAGACAATTGTGAGCTGCCATGTGGGTGCTGGGGATTGAACCCAGGTCCTTTGGAAGAACAGCCAATGCTCTTAACTCCTGAGCCATCTTTCTAGCCCCTTCATTTCATTTTTTTAAAAAAAGACATCTTTCCCTTAGAAAGTTCGTTGTCCTTTTCACGTATGTTTCTAAAATGCACAGAGAAACACTAAAGTTATGTCCAAATCGGCTTTTTCCAACACACAATATTGGAATCTTTTGACGTTCTGTTTTATCCTGTCCTGGATGAGAATCATCCCTTTGTCCAGCATGTTCATACAGAATAAACTTCTTGTGTGATAGTGGTTTTCATCATTTATTAGCTGTCTTAGTCCTGCAGGGCTTGTGTTTACCCAACCGTCACTTTCCTTAATAATGACCCCAGAAAGCACGAATAATATTACCAGAAATTCAGATGTACCAAAGAGATTTTTTTTTTTTTTTTTTTGAGACAGGATTTCTCTCTGTTGCTCTGGCTGTCCTGGAACTTGGACTACAGACCAGACTGGCCTGGAACTCAGAGTTCTAACTGCCTCTGCCTCCCGAGTGCTGGGATTAAAGGCGTGCGCCGCCACTGCCTCACTGTTTTGGAGTTTTAAAAGGGGGAAAAAAATCATATGCTGAAGTTGCTACAAAAAGAAAAAAGAAAAAGAAAAAGAATGAGGAAAAAAATTCACCCAGGAAAATTTGATGAGTGAGAAGAAATTTCTTTTGGTTTTGCTCTCAGATTGCTAATACAAAGGTTATAGCCACAGTTCATGCAGGTGTGTGCTTAGTCAATGTCCTAGAGGCGTAAACTCTGTGTCTGTGTTTGGAAACAGAGATGAGGAAACTACGTGGGGTGTCAGTCTTCCACCTACAGCTCCACTGCCTTCCTCTGACCCCAATCTGGGCTTAGACACCTTTGCTTTCAGCCTTTCCTGACAACTCAGCATAGTGCGTGCAGAGAAGGATCGCTTCAGGGTCGCTATTGGGGGAGGGGCCACCGAGAAGCAGGAGGGAAGTCGAAACGTCTTACTTTTACATTTTAATTTGTAAGTTTATTTACTTGGTTCCTGCATTGTGCTGCTGGCATTGTACAGGCATGACTCACAGCTGTGCTTTGGGGTAGCTAACAAGTGGATAAGAATAAGAGACCCCGAAGAATACAAAGAGAGGAAGACAGAGGATGGGAAGGTACAAAGGGAGTTTTGAAACATGATTTGAAATCGCAGTCTTCCACTTTGACCCTCTCCAGAGTGTGCGTGTCCACGCCAATAGGAATCACTGAATGCTGAACATCTGCCGTGGTCCTGGTCCCAGTGGTGTAAACCATCAGACACACAACACACACAAAGGCACACCCCTTCGAACTCGAAGCACCCCGGAAACATGGCAGATGTGGTTCTTGTCGTTTTATTTCTCTTTTGTGTAGTCTTTGAAGAGAAAGGTGTAACATGGATTGCTTTCCATGGATTTCAATATTTTCATGGTATTTTCCTATTCCTCGCCCATTGGTCAACTAATTATTTCTGAATTTGGTGAGCAGAGCAAGATGAGATAGAAGGTGCCGAAGGATAGAGGTTGAAGTCCAGACCCCGTGGAGCATCACTGTCATGGCAGGACGGTAACTCCATAGAGTAAGGACGATGTGGGTAGATGGGTGTTGGTTGGTGTAAGATGATCAATTAGCAGGATAAGGGAAACGTGTACGTGTGGGGACATCAAGCAGCAGGTGGGCACTTGGAAAGAATTCACACGGCATCCATCATCTGGAAGATAGGGAAGAGCAAGACAGGTTAGGAACCGACCGGAGGGTTAACCAAATAATTAAACACAGGGACCATCCAGATCTCACTTGGCGGGAGAAAAGAGTTAAAACTTTGGCGGCATAACACGAGACCTAGAACTTTGTACCACAGGATTAGAAATGAAGATATCAGGGAATGTGAAGAGAAATATAAGCAAACTTAGAGTAAATCATATTAGTTGCTCTGTGTGGCCATGCCTCATATGCCCAAGAGAACAGGTAAAAGGAGGAAAGATGTATTTTGGCCCCTGACTTCAGAGGGTGTGGTCCACGGTAACTTGGCCTCAAGAGCTTCAACAGAGCATCATAGTGGTGATTGCTTGTGAGGTAGAGGAGGATCGTTTCCTCATGATAGAACACAGACTAAGGGACTGAGGACCAGGTATAACCTTCAAAGGCTTGACTCCAGTGACCTACATCCTCCATCTAGGACCCATCTCCTAAGGTTTCAAACCCTGGCAAAATAGTACCTTGAGCTTTGGATCTAGTCTTCAGCCTAGTCTGGGGATGGGGTGAGCATTTTATATTTAAACCATATATGTATGTATATGTATATATAATGTGTATATGTATGTGTATAGCATGCTACATTTGTAGTATGTATACATTTGTACAGCATGTGTACATGTGGAGGGCATATCCTATATGAATATTTCAACTCTCATTCAATGTACTGAGAGAAAATGGCAAGCAGGATACTTCAAGACACAAGGGAATACCCTGTGAGTCCAATGGTACATTCAGATCTTGTTTCTAAGATATGAATTTGCTTAAACAGGAACCATGTTCCATGAAGAAAGGACAAATTGAGGCAAAGACTCCAAAACCTTTGCTTGCAGAAAAGCAGGAAGCACTTCTGAAATGATGTGGTCAGGAATGATGTGGTCATGTCAGAAGGACATAGAGGCAAGCTTGAATGGGTTCCCAGTGGCAGAAGAGATGGCAGGTTGAACATGGAAAGGAATAATGATATTACCATATCACAAAGAATTGATTGAAATGGATTTGCTGCGCGAGCTCGTGTGTGTGTGTGTGTGTGTGTGTGTGTGTGTGTGTAGGAGTTGTTTGTTGTTTTATTTTGAGACAGGGTTTCATGTATCCCATGAGCTACTATGTAACTAAAGGTGATCTTGAACTTCTAATTCTCCTACTTCCATCTCCCAAATTCTGGGATTCCATGTGTACACCATCACGTGGGGTTTAGTCAGTGCTGGGGATTGAACATGGGCTTTGTGCATGCTAGGCAAGCACTCTACAAATTAATCATTTTCGGCCTCATGTTAAATGAAACAGGAAACAATGAATCCACTCTGATTTAGAATTAAAAAATTAAAAAAAAATTGGAAAGGATATTAACAAAGTTCAAAGCACCTTGCTGCAAAAGTCTTTCATTTAACCTGGAGGCAGGAATAATGTTAAAATTGGGAGACTTGGTTTACACACTCTTATCATATAGTTGATATGGTTATCATCAATAAGAACCAAGCAGATAGATAAAATGCAATGGGAATGTAATATCACTTTTATGATATTTTTCTAGAGATATATGAATTTAACATTAAACTATAACTGGGAAAAATTCTAAAGAATTATTGACTAGTAAGTTTACAGAAGTTGTTAAAGTCATGGAAATGAGACTCAAGAATGAAAAGTCAAGCCAAACATGAAAACTAAGTAATACCATAATGCTAAAGTTGCTCTTATGGGTCTGTGATGCACTATTGGAGTTACTGGAGAATCCTGGATGTGGCCTGCGGATTAGATGGCAGACATGCATGGGGGTAATTTCTTGATTTTTTTTTGGCCATATTTTGGTCATCCTGGAGGTGATTCATAGTTGTAGGAACTATCCATTAGTAAATTACAAAAGAAAGAGACATTTAGTCAGCAGTTCAGTGTCAAGGGCTGATAAGAATGTTTTCATATTTTTTTCCTCACAACTTTTCCCTAAATGTATAGGTATTTCAATTTCTTTAAAAAGGAGGAAAAGACAATTTTTGCTTTTATGAATTTTTTTAAGTTAACTTATGTATACACACGACAAACTTTATAGCTGTGGAAATCCTTTTCTGGTGGGCAACTAAGCATAATGTAATAGGCAAGCTGATTTGATAATTGTGAAAGACTATTTTTCAAAGTGCTTTAGTTGAAAATAAGATTATTTACAGTCATTAATTCACAATTTTAATTGTATATTTTCTCCAAAGTTTAAAAGTTGATACATCAAAGCAAATAGTAAACATTAAAAGAAAAATAATTTGATTCACTTAATCTGCCTTGTGATCTGAGGGCTTGCCTTTGCATAAGCAAATTTGATACATTCATCATATTAATCATATTTCTAAACATTTATCATTTATATGTTTGGTTTTGTCTTAAAATACAGACAACGTTAGCATGGGTAATAAAATTGAGACAGTTGAAAAATGGTACATATTTGTTGTGAAATAAATTATTTGAAAGTTGTTTCATTGTTACAGTTACTAACTGTGAAAAAATGTTGAAACAAAATTGAAAAATATGATTGATGGAACACTGGGATATGTACTTGAATCCTTTTTTTTCCATCACCAACATCTTACCGTTTTAGCAACTGTTATTTAATTCTTTATACTTTGGGTATTCTGACCATATAGGTCAAACGTTTATTGCAGTTTATATAATAAACCTGAATTAACATATTAAAAATAAAACCACCAGTGGAAAGAAGTTGGTGTGTTCAATTATTTGGTTTAGGCTGAAATAATCCTGAGATTCATTTGGAAGTGTCAATAAGGAAATATTCATTGATACTTTGTTATTAAAGTATTTTGAATATTAGATGGTTTCCTGTTTTGGTTGAACTGGCATTTTATTAAAAAGTAGAAGTCAGTTTTGCAAATCATTTCTCACATTATAAATTTTTTACTCCATGTTTTTTCTTTCTTTTTTTTTTTCTTCTGGAGACACAGTCCCAGGCTAGGCTGTCCTCAAACTCATGGCAATCCTCCTGCCTCAGCTTTCTGAGTGGTAGGATTACAGGCCTGGCCATCACACTTGGCCTTGTACTTCATCTCCATAGCATCTATTAAATGGATATTTATGTCATCGATGGCTGTTTTTCTCCCAGTCACACTGCCTCACTTGAGGACAGGGACTTTGAACTTGCTTGTCCATTTGCAATCTCTGCCTCTTGGTCCAGTTTGACAGGACATTTTCTCGTGCTTTTATTGTGAGCTCATTTTTGTGTGTTTGGGAAGAGGGTTCTTATGGACACATGGAGTGGCTTTGGTTTGCTTCTGACAGGCACCTTGGGGTCTTTGTCGGGGCCCAGCAGTCTTGGGGTTCAGTTCAGACCTATTGAAGGATGGTCCCTTAAAGAGGGGAGCGAGGAACTGAGAAGTAATAGGAAGAAATATAGGCATAGAAAAACACAGAGACACAAGATAGTTTCCAAAGGGCCCTGGATCAATACCCAGCAGCCTTGAGTTTATTTCTAATGGTCTTTTTATATACTAGCAAGGGGAGAGGCAAAAGACCTCCCCCTTTCAAGATCAAAGCACAATGGACAACCAAATGTAGACCCTTCAAAACACCTGGTAGGCACGCCTTTGGCCAAATCATCCTATTATGCAGCCCTGCTGGGTAAATCAAGCTCAGACTTTCTGACCTTGAGTAAGGCCTTTCTAGGGAGCCTCTGTGGGCCCCCACAGGTCTTCATCAGTCTGGGATCTACTTTTTAAATGATTTCTTTTTAAATTATTGGAGATCATAATATGTTTACATCATCTCTCCCTTCCCTTTTCTCCCTCCAAACCTTCTCATGTACCCTTCTTTGCTCCCTTTCAAATTTATGGCCTCCTTTTTCATTAATTGTTACACACACACACACACACACACACACACACACACACACACACACATTTCTAAATATGTGAGTACAATCTGTTCAGTCTGTCTAGCATTGGCTTGTACATATATTTTCAGAGCTGACCATTTGGCATTGTTTAACCAATTGGTGTGCTCCTCCCCAGAGAAGCTATTTTTCCTTCTCTCAGTGTACGTTAGTTGCCTGTAGTTCTTCATGTAGGGTTGAGTCCTCCTGACCTCCCCAATGTTAGCATGTCTCTTATTTTTGTCTTTGCTTAGCTCATGTTTAGGCAGTCATGTTGCTGAGATTTTACAGGTGTAACTTCTGACATTACCTCACAGCAAACTCCCTCTGGCTCTTAAAATATTTCTACCTCCTCTTCCACAGCTCCCTCTTCCCTGAATTGATCCCCGAGTCTTAAGTGAGGGACTTGGCTCCACAGCTCTTCATTTGATCGTGATCGTATTGGTCTCTGTCTGTTGCAAAGAGAGTTTTCTTTGATGCAGAGTTAGGACTACACAGATGAGTAGGTATAAGGAGAAATATTTAGAACCTAAGGAGGGAAGCTACCAACACTCCCACTGAGCTATGACATCTATGAACCACAACAGTAACCAACATAGTCTTATGACCCTAAGGGTGTAGCAGTGCTATGCATACCTTGGCAGTGGCCACTAGCTTTCTATTCAGACTTAAGACCTGCTCAACAAGAGGGAAATCATCCCTTGTACTGGAAACCTAGCCAACTCCCCAGGTTAGTGAAGTCACTGATCTTCAAAGAGAACCTGCAATCTCCACTTTCCCAAATAGCATGATCTCTATCTACATTGTAAATATTGTGATCTATTTTTTACATGCATTTCAAATCTTGGGGATTCTATAGCAGCATAATATAAGTTCGCTTCTGGTGCTTCCTTATAGATATTCTTGGGCATTTTTATTTCCCATGTTTTTTTAAAAATATTTTTTAATCTTTACATTTTCCCCCATTTTTAAATTGAAAATATATTATTTTGTAGAATATATTCTGATTACGTATAGGTTTCCCCTCCTCTAACTCCTCTGAGCTCCTCCCTACCTCCCTTCCTGCCCAAATCCACACCTTTTCTTCCTCTCTCTCATGTCTTTCAAACATTTCCACATACTTACCACTTTTAGAGGGCTGTTCAGTAGAGCTTTCCAATCTGTCTTTCATGGAGAGTGTAGCAGTGTGGAGATTCTGGCTTTGGCCAAGGCTCTCAGGTCCAGCCACTAGCCCAGACCTTTCCTCGGGTCCCTCTGCTCTCATTCAAAACCAGGGTGCAACCAGCTGGTCCTGAGGTGGTGTCACCAACTCCTCCCTCCCTTTACCTCTAGATTCCAGCACCGTGTTAGCGTCAACCTTCACACCCTGCCCTGACTTTCAGTCTCCTTTTCTTGCTTCCAGAGATGTCTCGTTTCTTGTGAATGTATTTGCACTGGCATGAATAGTCATTGACAAGATCGTGGTGGTTACTCTGGAAAAGAGGAGGGAAGTGACTGCTCTTTCGTGTATTACCCTAAACACTGGGAGAGAAGGATGCTTACCTTGGCTTCAGGGTTGTGGCAACACTTTCAACCAAAGCTACCTTCAACTGCCTAGGAGGTTATTAGGGGTTTTTCCATCTTTGATAAGATTCTGTTGATTGTGAGTTTAGAACCTTCTTAGAACTGGCTATAGCAGAGAACAGGATTTACGTAGGTGACCTAGTACCTCACAGATCCTAAGGGCAAGAAGCAGGTAGGCGTCAGAAGGGACTAGAATTTGGAAGAAGCAGGCTAGTAGAACTGAGAGATAAGAACAAACAGCTGTGGGTACCAGGAGAGAAGCTGAGCGCCTCTGCTGAGTACTTCTAGATGAGGATGCCACAAAACCTGCATGCTGATAGGGTACACAAGATCGTTTCCTCGTCTCTCATCACCTTCCCTATTTTGGTGGAATCTGAGTCTGTCCCCACATCCCACGTGGATCCTTGCTCCTGCCTTCGCACCTTCGATGGCTGCTTCCTTAAACTGGGATCTGTACTCCTCATTACGGAGACGCCGCCTGCGGCACTTGCAGGGCTCCAGCCCTCTCCTTCGCTTGTTTCTTCTTGACTGTATTTCACGCAGGGCCTGTACTGTTTGCTGCATTCCTTTCCTTCTTGGCCGCCTCTTCTCTTTCCTTCTCTTTCCGACTTCCTTCTGTGAGGTCTCCCATAGTGAGAAACACGAAGTCATTGGATTATATGCCTACCAAAAGCTTTCGTTTTCAAATGACTCTCATCTCTCGTTAGCCTTCTGATTGGTGAATTCTTACCAGGAAGGTATGAGCCTGTGAAATCGACATCTAAGCAATGTTTGGACCCAGTCCTTTTCTTTTCTTCTTTTTGCCAACTTGACACAAGCTAGGGTCGTCTGGGAAGAAGGAACCTCATTTGACAAAATGCTTCCACAAGACGGGCCAACAGGGGCCATTTTCTTGATTAAACATTGGTGTGGGAGAGCCCAACATACTGGGGAGAGCCACCATGAGTAGGTGGTTCTAGGTAAGCCATGGGGGTAAGCCAGTAAGCACCCATGTTCAGTGGCCTCCGCTTCAGTGACTAACCCAGGTTTCAGCCCTGACTTCCCTTTGAGATGGACTGTATTTGGGACAAGCATGGCAAATAAACCCTTTCCTCACTGAGATGCCTCTGGTTATTGTGTTTTAATATAGCAGCAGAGACCAAACTGGGGCAGAAGTTAAATGTACCGTTTCCCTGTGGGAAAACACACCCCTCAGTTCTTATCTGAAGACTTCAACGGTAGTTAATTCGAGGAGAGGCATGGCTGGGCTGTGGAATGGTTCAAGTGGGTTTTAGCTAAAGGAGGTGGATACCTTTGAGTGTGTGTACAAGTAATGTAGACTCTGTGTGTGTGTGTGTGTGTGTGTGTGTGTGTGTGTGTGTGTGTGTGGTGTATGTGTATACTTTTATTCCTACTAGCATTTATTAGGTCATGCCCAGGTATGTCAAATATCTTGAAATGCACAAGAGTCCACAGGGAAAAAACTGACCTGCTCAAAAGACAGTGATGTTACTTCCCACAAAGACCCCTCCTTCAGTCACCACACACATAACTTAGGATTCCTGGAAATGCATGGTCAAGAAATAGGGTTATCTTGGTGCAAAATGCTGTGTTCCTGATTAGTTGCAGTTCTTTGTTAAATTGCCTGCATTATCTTGTCTCTGGGTATCAAAGTTTAAGTGGAGTGACGATATTATTTCCTTGGAGGGAGGCTATAACGTGCCTGAGGGTAGGGACAGTGTCTTCCTCATCCTTGTGTCTCTGGATCATATTGTGCATAGAAAAGGCTCTGACTAAACATTCCTGGAATAAGCCACATTAATATCAACATGTGACAGAGGTATGATTTGTTATGAGGCTTTCAACACAGAGTTTTGCTTTATTTTCCAACTAGCATATTCACGATATATGGTGAACTATGTAACGCATGTTAAGTTTGGAATTCATTCTCTGCTCTAGGCATTCAGAAAGAAACTGCCACTTCATCTAACACATACCACCCCCTCTGTGCTTTTGCCTGGCAGGCTCCCTTTCAGCAGGTGGGGTCAGGAGGTTAACCGCTCCACATCTGTTTATGCTTTGCTCTGCCTCAAAATGCTTGAAATGGGTTGTTGTAGAGCAGAAAATCCATTTGGTCGTGTACGCTCTCCCTGATTATTTTCAGCTGTAGAAAGTCAATATTTCAGACGTCTACTCCTGTTGCCAATCTCCTTCAATCTTTAAGTCACAGGGTTTTCACTGATAGAGGATCTGTAAGTCAATTAAGTCTTCAGTTTGTACAAATTCCACAGTCTCCATTTGGCTATATGAAAAAGAGATTGCTTCCTTTTATGATATGCCCAGCTTTTTTAGCTGTGTAATAACATAATCAGGATGCAAAATTTAAGGCACTTTTTTATAAATAAGTCAGATATTTAATTTCCCGAGGAATGAATAGTGCAACCTTCTTTTTTTTTTCTTTCCTCGCCTCCATTGTTTTAAAAATGCATACACAAAAATAAAGAGACAAGGACAGAAAAAAGAAACAGACCTTAGGATGCTCCAGTGGGGGCAGAAAGAGTTCTGCTGCCTCCAAAGAGAACTTGCATTCCCTCTAGGTTGTGTTTTCCATGAAACGACAGCTTTGAAATAGTTAAGATTGAGAGCAAAGTCATCTCCAAGAAGGATGGGCGTGTGTGTGTGTGTGTGTGTGTGTGTGTGTGTGTGTGTGTGTGTTTATCTTCCTAGTCCTCCTCCTTCTCAGAGTAAGGGGAATTTGTTGTATGTTTGTGACTATTACAGAGATATGCCCCCTTCCAGCTTTCTCTGAAGAACACAGGACTTAAAGATGATCTTGTTGCCTCTAAAATAAAAATGATAACCTTCCTCCGGGAACTGAATGGAGAGGATGCCCTCCCAGCTGCTTGAACCAGGGAGAAATCAGGTCTCAAAACTTTGTAAATGTGCAAGAAAAAAACATCTTTTTTCCCACTAATTTCATTTAAGTTTTTGCACATTTGTCGTGGTATCAAGGCATTTGATTTTTTTGGTTTCTAATTTGCAGATATAGGCATATGGTTAGGGTGAAGGGATGGCTTTATAAGGTCACATAGACTTCTAGTGGTCCAGACAATTGCACAAGTCGCCTCTGAAACATTCCAATTTGTTCTCTCAGAGCTCAGGCTTGAGCTGAACAATGCCACCTTGAAAGCAGGAACACGAATGTGACATACTGTCTGCATTATGGGACAATTATTATCTCGTCTCCAGGCATTTAGTCTCTAGATTGAACATCCATTCTTGGAGGTGTGAATATGTGTCTCGGGAGAGGACTGTCTGGTGCTGTTGTAATTTTCAAAGGAGAAGCTGTGGGCAGGGTTGGCTTGCAGAACCATGTGTTCTGGTGTGAACTCAGTAATTTCATTTTGCAAGAGGCCAGTGAGTTATTTGAACCTCGTATGCTTCAATTAAATGACAGAGAACCAGATGAAAAGACTTACTGAGAACCAGATGCTCTTTCGCTGTGCCTCCCGGGATATTCAAAACAAACATCACAACAAAAGACACTTGGGTCCAGTGTAATTCACTGATGGATGGTTTGGATGCGTTTTTGTTTACTAGGAGGGTGGAAGCTAATGAGGAAGATTGACAGATGGTTGGGTTGAGAAGTACTATTGATCTCTCATTCAGCAAATCTACTTTTAATTCTTGTGAGGGACACTTTCATGGTTGATTGAGAACAAAGTGACGTGCATCTAATGCTGGCAACATTTTAGATTTGGGGTAGCAAGCAATTGTCTTGGTGATGCTTGGAGCACACTACTTACAGGTGGACTGAAGAGACTCTATCTCTATTAAGTAGTGAAAAAAATTCAAGGCACATTTGGGGCTGATGTCTGGGCAGGAGAATGTTCCAACCTGAGTTTCCCATGGGAGCCCAGTGTCTGCACTGTTGAGCCTGTGAATGTGACAGTATGCTATCCCCACAGAGTTTCCACGAGCTTCTGTGTCCTGTGGAAGCGTCAGGAGTAGGAGTGACCTACTGTCCCTGCAGCCTGTCACATGCTTTGCCAAAGCAGCAGAGCACAAATGCATCTGCAATCCCTCGTCTTCTATCTCAAGAACTAAGGGACTAAACTTCCCCTCAAACAAAAGTAGCATTGATTTCGGAGATTTTTTTTTTTTTTTTTTTGGTTTTTCGAGACAGGGTTTCTCTGTGTAGCTTTGCGCCTTTCCTGGAGCTCACTTGGTAGCCCAGGCTGGCCTTGAACTCACAGAGATCCGCCTGCCTCTGCCTCCCGAGTGCTGGGATTAAAGGCGTGCGCCGCCGCCGCCGCCGCCGCCGCCGCCGCCGCCACCACCACCACCGCACGGGCGATTTCGGAGATTTTTTTTAACTGTGATTAATATTGTAATCGAACCCAGTCTTCTGTGGTCAAGTCATTCCATTCTGCCATAACTTTAAATACTATCTCATCTTCTCATTGTGTTTTAATTAACATTTAAAAAACAATAGCTAGGTTCTATAATAAACATTGAAGCAAAAATAAAATTTAACTAAATCCACCAGATGGCTAACAGAATTAGGGTAACCTTCTAGCTAGGAATAGTTGGACACTCCAAATTCTCTGACTCTTGGACTATATGTTTGTCTATCTGTATAATTTCACAGTGTGTTAAGGAATTTAAAATACAAGGATTTGGGTATTTATATTTAATGGCATCCATGGTAAAGAGACACATTTTACAGGTAGAATTAACATGCACACCACACAAAGCCTGAAGTCTGCCCAATGTTTGGTGCTAATTTAAATCATACACAAGGTAGCGTTGTTGGAATACCTGTATATATGATGTTGTAGTATAAGTCAGAGCACACCAATGTCTCTTTGTAGACAGTATCTGACAATGAACATTGTTTCTTAACAAGTGATTAGAGGCTAAGGATGACATTTGCTTAGTGACACCTTAGAATGATCAGAGAATACTTTTTTTTTAAATTAGGTTTTTGATTTGTTAAATGTGAACTTGAACCCTCTATTTCATTTTTCAAACTAATATTTATTGTTTTAATTATGCGTGTGCATGGGAACATGGAGTATTTGTACATGAATGCAGGTACTTGAGGAGGCCA